TGGGAAGAGGTCTCACCAAGCCACAGAGTCCAGATAAGATTCCCTGTATTTGGGCATAACCTGGGCCTGACTCTCAAATAGGCAAGAACCACCTTTAATCATGAAGCCTCCACCTTTGCGTTAGCAGGGGCAGCACAGACCAGTGCATCCTTTCCCCTATGACTTATCATTCCTAATACCTTGTCCTGGCCCAGCTGCTCCTCTCCTTTCACAACCCTGCTTGAAGCCCCTCTTACCTGGAAGGCGATGGGGGTTCTGAACAGCCGCAGCACGTCCAGCAGGAGAGTGGGCAAAGCAGAGCTGAGGCCACGGGAAGGTTCTTGTTCACATCCCCCCGTACCGAGATTTGCAATTAAATGTACATTAGATGCTGCACTCTCCTTTGTCGGCACCAAAGAGGGGCAGGAGCTGCCCCCATGGCAGAGCCAGGGATGCCTCCAGCACCCCTGTGCCCAGCGAGACTGTCACAATCCCAGTTCCTGGGCTGATGTGGCCGTAGGTGCTGCTGCCCAGAGCAGCCCAAGCACCCGCCGTGTGCCATGGGCTGCCCATGGCGCCAGCTCTGCCGCGCTTGGGACCGGAGCCTGGGAATGACCCATGCGGCCAGCACAAGCGAAGGGGTTTATGAAGGATAACACAAACCGTCTCATCCCTGCAGGACACAGGGCCTGAAATCACACACACAGATCACACCTGCACTGCACAGAGCAGCACACAGGCTCTAAGGAAAGGGCCTTTCCAGCCGCGGTGTCACGGCTGCCTTGGTGGGACTTCTGACCCCGGGGGCTCTCGTGCCCAGCAGCTTGTCTGCCTGTCCCCCCGGTGCTGACAGACACACATCTCCCCCAGGCAGCCCGTCAGGACAAGACAAGGAAAAGCCATTAGTTTCCAGCCTTGAAATGTAACGTTGGGGCTGTTTATTATTGATTTGAAGGTTGTAAATGCTCTGCCTGTGTCTGGGTTTTGAACGCTAATGATGAGAACAGCAAAAGGAGGTGAGGGAGTGGGGAGGGAAATGAAAGCATTTCACAGCTACTGAAGTCTTTAAACATCCCTGGGCTGTACAAGGAAGCCAACAGGGAGAACGTGAGGATGATAATCAAGTAATCTGCTGTCCCTAAGATGTCTGTGGCTTCAATTCATCCCTCTGGCAGTTGCCTCTGCTTGAGCAGACTGTTTCCACACGTACGGGTCAAATGAAAAGCCACAGTGAAACAACAAGGAAAAAGTAAACTGTAATAGAGTTATTAGCTGCAATAACACCCCGGGACTGGATCTATTGTATCCAACAGCAATCTCCCAGTGCTCTTCACCACCCTGCAAAGTATTCCTGGATCACCATGCAGGCAGGAGAGGCTGCTCCAAACCCACCAGTACAGGCTGGCTTGTGCCTGCAGGGTCTGAGGGGGGACATGTGCTTTTGGGGATGGTTTTGGAAGCCTCATGGTGTTTGGGTGGGCAGAGCAGGCCCCAAAGGGCAGAGGCACCAGGAGCAGCACAGAGGATGAAGGGAGCGATGCTCTGCAGGGCTGGGTCCAACTCAGAGCAGGGACGCAGCCCCCAGGTTTAGGTTCAAGGCAATGTTTTTAAGCACCGATACCTGAAAGTTCAGTTCTCCAACACAGCCTCTCAGGGGCTGTTTTCCTGCTTGTCTCACAGTTCACATGGATTTCCCAGTCAAATCAAACCTGCTTGTTCTGCCCAGCAGTGTCCCCCCCAGCCACCGCTCTGGGGCACTTGCCATGTGCTTGGCATATTTATTTATGCTCCCAGACATACTCGCTAATATTAAGCAGGATCAGAGGGTTTAATTAAATGGAAAAAAGCCCAAATCTGGATGAAGGAAGGGGGGAGCAAAGGGGAGACTGACACATCTGCCTTGTAATTACCTTACAATTCCAGAAGCTCCTGTCTCCACTCCCCAGAGCTGTGTGACAGTTCGTGCTGCTCAGCTACACAGCAGGGTTTTCTCCCTCTGGAGCGTAAAGGGAGTCACAGTCGCAAGCGTTGGACCAGGGGTCCACTTAGATACGGTTCAGCTTTGGGGGGCGTTTCACAGGGTATGAGGATGGACAAGGGCTGGGCTAAACCTGAACCTGGCGGTGGTCAAGGTTGGACACAGGGGCTTGGAGCAACCTGCTCCAGTGGAAGGTGTCCCTGCCCGGGGCAGGGGTTGGGACTGGAGGAGCTTTAAGGTCCCTTCAACCCAAACCATTCCATGACTCTACGGAGCTGGGTCAGTGGCAGGAGTGATGTAGACTTTGGGTCTTTAAGGCCTGGGAAGACTCTGCAGTTCCTGTTTCCAGGAGGTGAAGGGGAAGTCATCCATGGCTTCCTTTTGACAGAGAGTTGGCATTAGAAGTAGCCAGGAGATCCCAGGAACTCCCAGCCTTCCTTCCTGCCCTCAGCCTTCCAGGGAGATCATCCCAAGCTGTTACAAAGCGGTTGCAACACCGTTCATTTTACAGCGTCTGAACCAGTGCAAAATGACCAAATCTTGCTTTTTCCTGACCTGAACCACAAAAAGCATCTCAGTGATTAAATGCTAAAGACAGACCAAGCCTGCTCCGTGCTGTCAGCGACGTAACACCACCACACACCGCACATCCAGCACTCGTGCTGAAAAGCGAGCCAAATCAGCGCGTAAACCCAGGCCAACAAGCTCTGTACATTCATTTACCCAGCAAGCTACCCACAAAGCAGAGTCCCCAGTGTCCGAGCCAAGTGATTTAGCAACCCCAAACCCCCATCTCTGTGTTCCACACTTAAAGAGCACAGGTTGGTGATAGAAACAGCTCTTGATGTGCTGTTCTTCATGGGGGATTGATGCTACCAGCAGCCAAAAGTCAGCCACTCAACACAGCGTTACCTTGACAAACCAAGCGACAAGAGCTTCAAAACGCAGTTTCATGGTCCTGTACATCAGCATCAACCCGGAGGGAAGGGAGGAAGCTGGTGACAGTGTCTGAGGGCTCACATCACTCTAGGGCAGCAGTAACCAGCAGTGCAGAGCCCCAAGGGACACGACAGGGGTGAGTTAGGATGGGATGGACAGGAAAAAGCAAAGCCTTAATGTTGCAGGGAAAGTGACATGATGGATGTACACACACACTTGTGTTTGTGTGCACAAGCAATGAAGATGTTTTGCAATCACACAGCACCTGGGAAAACACACCGAAGGCTCAGGAAAGCTCACTTCTTCCCGTCACTTCTTCCTTTCCCTTCATCTTTCCAGGCTCTGTGCACATGAGAGAAGGGCAGATGCTGACAGCCTGAGGCAGAGGCTGCTCTGTGATGCACAGTCCCACTTCCCACCCTCAGGATGGTTTCCTCCTGGATGCAGTAATCCAGCAGCAGCATTTAGCTGAGGACCAAGCAGGCAGACTGGGGCTTTTGCTGTGTCTCGGGGACAAGCTCCATCCCCTTCCCACACAGAAGGAAAGGGTCAGCACATCAGAACAGGCAGCCCCAGGACACGGTGCCAGTAAATGAGGTTTCCACTGACTTTGCTGCAGGGCTGAGACCCACAAAGCTGATGCCCGAGTCCTGCTGTGGGAGCTGCTCCAAGGTACCAGATCCCCCCATTCCCAGGCTCCCAGGGCAGAGGCTTCTCCTCCTGGGCCGGGAAAAGCCAAGGGTAGAGGTTTGGTGGGGCCTGACTAGCAGGGACAGTGCAAACCAGGGGCAGAGCATCCCCAGCCCTGACCCGCTGCAGAGGAGGGGACGAGGGGAGATTCCCAACCTCCAGCTCCTGCCCAGGATTCCCACTGGGGAAAAGCCCAGGGACGGCAGCTGCCAGGAGAGCAGCAGGAGGGGTTTTAGCGGGTGGGCGTCCTCCCCATCCTATAATGCCCGGAGCGGTCACAGGGCGACAGAGGCGGCAGCAGCAGCCACCCGCTCCCGGCACACGGACACCGCTGCCTGGCTCCTCCTGCTCCTGAAGAGGCCAAAGAGATGCAGCCTCTGCAGTAATTCTCTTAC